GTGAAGCATCACAGTTAAAATGAAATCAACAGATTTAGAACATTAAAATGCGTCCACGTATCCAACGTGTCCGAAAAAAATATGGTTGCTTGTTCAGTCCAGGTGGAATGCAAATGAAGGTAGATGGTGCACCTCAAGTTATAGCTATTTGGAATATTATGATATGATAGCACCAGAATTAGAATTCTGTTTATGTAAGACGGATGATTCAAAGTGTCGATTAAAATGTCACAATTTGCTGAGTATGATCCTCTTGTTAATATGCACGTATCATTTTTGTGTTCAAGGGGCGACTATTAACTAGGTGTCTAGACTTCAAATGTAGTGACACCTGGAGATCTCTCACTGGGCAAGACACAGTTTAGATAGCTGTGCGTGAAGGACCTATTCAAGACAATGAGTCACTGGGGTAAACCACGGGCATTAGGAGAAACAGGTCTCTCTCATGGTGAGCCATCCTTAGAACGTTATAACGAGCAAGGAAGTGACAATTGCTAGGAATCTCCAAGGGCAGGTGGGGAGGTCCCATGTCTCATGAGACGTCTGTATTTTTCCACAAACTGGTCTGGGACCAAGTTTTGAAACAAAGGTTTCCCGCCCATTTTTAAACTATATAAGGTGGGGAGTGATCTCCTCTGTTCTTTACTCCCCACACAAGAGGACAGACTAGAGGAAGAAGGCGAAAGGCTACACCCAGACCAAAGGGGTTTCCATCCTGAGTATGGAAATCCGAGAAAACCAGACTGCAAACCAAATGCACCTAATGCTGTGAGAATCTGCCAGACTGCTGGTATCATCACTCAGGGTGAGAAACTGCTCGTTCATAGTCAATCTAACTAGTGCATGATGTTCAATTTGGAGGGTTTTTTTTTTTTTTTTTTTTTTTGCATTTTCTGGTAACCTGCTCCAATCTGATCCTATCCCTTACAATTGCTTAAAATTGTCTCATTAATAAACTGGTTTCTACTGTAACCTAAATGTTGCCTGGAAGTTACTTTTCTTGGGAAAAATCTCAGCTTGGTTAGCACAAGTGGGCGTGTTCCTTTCCACTTTGAGGGAGAGGAGAACCAGGGAACAAAACACTCTTGCTCGGTGTTCAGATCAGGGCAAGGGGGTACAGTCCTGGAGACCTAGGTTGGGGAGCTGGGGAATGTCTTGACTGTAGCTTCTCTATTGTGGGTTCATACAGAGGCTGGTCTGAGAGCCTGCGGGTACCCGTAGTTGGGTGTGTCTCTACAGGTGTGAATGCTGGAAGAAGGGTAGGCATGGGAGAGCATGATCAGAGGGTTCACTGGAACCCGAGTTCCAGACAGCACCCTGGGGGAATTCAGCAGTCAGATTACGGGAAAACCTGGGTAAGAAAGAGCAAACAATAGTTTCCAGATTTAGAACATAAGAACGGCCACACTGAGTCAGACCAAATGTCCATCTAGCCCAGTATCCTGTTTTCAGACACTGGCCAATGCCAAGTGTCCCAGAGGGAGTGAACAGAAAAGGAAATCTTCAAGTGGTCCATCCCCTGTTACCCCTTCTCTTTTTACCACTCGCATAGAATCATTGGTTGGCTATGTCTACACTGGCATGATTTTCCGGAAAAAGTTTTCCGTTAAAAGCATTTTCAGAAAAGCACGTCTAGATTGGCAGGATGCTTTTCCGGAAAAGCACTTTTTGCAGAAAAGCGTCCATGGCCAATCTAGACACGGTTTTCCGCAAAAAAGCCCCTATCGTCATTTTCGCAATCGGGGCTTTTTTGCGGAAAACACTACTGTGCTGTCTACACTGGCCCATTTCCAGAACAGTTTTCCAGAAAAAGACTTTTGCTTGAATGGGAGCAGCATAATTTTTCCGGAAAAGCACTGATGATTTTACATTAGATCGTCAGTGCTTTTCCGGAAATTCAAGCGGCCAGTGTAGACAGCTGGCAAGTTTTTCCGGAAAAGCGGCTGATTTTCCAGAATAAATTGCCAGTGTAGACACAGCCATTAATAGGGAAAAAAACAGCAAGCAAATGGTCTGGCAGCACTTTATAGACTAACAAAATATGTAGATGGGATCATGAGCTTTCGTGGGCACAGCCCACTTCTTCAGATGACCGGAGTTATGAAGAGGGACTCGTCGAGGGATCCTTCTGCTGTCATCTGTTCCCAGCTCCTGACAAAAACAGACAAGGAACACCATTCCCACCCATTCTGTTCATCTACAATGTCTACAGCTGTTCTGTTAACCATTGTATAGCCTTGGCCTTCACAACATCCTCTGGCAAGGAGTTCCACAGTTTGACAGTGCATAGCAAGCTCTCTCTCCCCCCCCTCTCAAACACAAAGACACACACAGAGATGCCTATTGTTTTTTATCCTGTGTTCTGATGGAATCGAGGTGCTTTAGAGGAAATGAACAAGAAATCATGAAATTGCTCATTCTATGACACCCCTTCCCAACTTCAGACAGACAGAGTTTATTGACACCATCCCTACCCATCTTGCCTAAGAGCCACAGATGGACCTATCCTCCAGGAAAGTAACCACAAGTTGGACCTCCTGGTCCAGAAACTTCAGCACCTGAATGGTCTCGAATCACAGAGTTTTTTTGGAAGAGGCTCCCATTCTGGCCATCTGCTCCATTCCTGGGCAACAGCTCTGGCCACTGGGCTCCGCTCCTGGCCCCGTCCAGCACTGCGCTCCCCACCACCAGCCTGGGCTACGCTCCCAGTCCTTGGCCTCATTGCCAGCCGTCCAGGCTGCGCTTCTGACCATGACCATCCCCACTCCAAGCCAGGTTCTCTGGTCTAGCAATACTCATGATCCTGCCGGACCACGGATGTTCCCAAATAAGTGAGTACTGGATTGTAGAG